AAACATCCGAGTGCGCATCGTTTGCGTGTCAGTGCTGTCATGTCGTTTTCTGCAAGGGTTGAAAACACGTTTTGAAACTGCTGTGAAAATCTTTTCGGTGACTGCCCTTAGGATCCCTAAATGGACTGGACTTGTCCATGAGTGAGTCTGGGAGCCTTGAGGGTGGTGGGTGGGCCTTTAGGTTTAGGGGCAGTGTCCCGGGAAGTTCCTTGTGTGCCGGCCACAGTGCCTCAGGACACAAAAACCATGCTTGGATTTTCGTTCTTTAAAACTTCGGTCTTCAGCATGCAACTGCTTGCCTGGAAATTTCCACTTGCAAAGGTTGACCTTGTTTTCTTGTGAGTTTTGGCTTGAGTAATCAGTTTTGGACCCACCCATGCCCGCCCAGGTGGTGCAGTCGTTAATGACACAAACTTGCTGTAGAGCTTGCGGACAGGCCAGGGTCCGCGAGGCGGCATTCAACCCCCTGCCTGTCTCGACCGGGTTGTAATTAAACTACCTTCCTTCTTGCTTTGAGTCGCCGTACGGGCGTTCTTGTTGGGGGATTTGCGTCACACGCCTGCCAGCTTACTTCAGTGCAACGTGCCAAGGTCAGAGGTGCAAGGTTCGGCTTAGGCACCAGTGCGAGGTTCGCAAGCACAGGTCAAAGGTTCAGGTTGGAGATAGACTTCACACACTGCGTGAGAAAACATCCGAGTGCGCATCGTTTGCATGTCAGTGCTGTCATGTCGTTTTCTGCAAGGGTTGAAAACACGTTTTGAAATTGCTGTGAAAATCTTTTCGGTGACTGCCCTTAGGACCCCTAAATGTTAACCCACCTCAAGGCTCTTGGCTCAAGGCGTTCAGGCTCGCCCAGTCACCCTGCCAGTTGCTAGTTTAATGAAATGTCGTTTTCTTGCTCATGTGCCCCAGAAAGGTAAGACTGTAAGACAGAGCAGAAGGAGAGGTGTCACAATGTAAAACAAGCTGAGGTGACACCTTGGGTAGCAGCATGTCCGATTTTGTGCATTAATGCATTCACTGCCCGATGCAGCTTCCAAAGGGGCTTGAAAAGTTTCCTGTTGCTTGCGCAGCAGGTGCCAGCATTCTTTCCAGTGGTGACCGTGCGACGGCTGGGCTATGTTGTACGGCTACATTCTGTCTGTAACTACACGTAACAGTTCGGTTCTTTGTTTCACCTTTAGGCCCTCGTCTCTGTACCTGTAGCGAATCTAGTTTAAGTACGGTGTATGTTACCGTGCCATACGCATGGCATGTTTGTTCCAGTGTCATGTGGACGCCTTCGCTTTATGCAAGGCAAATGGCCTTGATTCTTTTCGATGGCAAGCCAAACTGTTGCTTGAAGTGATGCCCTCAGATTTCAGACCCTCGCTCGTCCTTCAAAGAAGCGATGCCTGAAAAACAAGTCTGGCGGTCCAGGGCCCAGGGTTGTGTAAGGCGTAAGGCTTAAGCCATTGTCATGTAGTGTAGCGGTTGTCAACCGGATCAGTCTCATGCCCCAGGCCCCGTGCTAACCTCCAAGCGTAAGATGAAGTCGAGGTTGAGATTGTTCCCAAGTCCCAGGTAGAGGTAAGCCAGGTAAGCGTGCAACAGTACATGTTTTGGGTAGCCCACCAACGAAATACTTAGTCAAGGTAGAAATGTTATGATGCCATGATGCCATGATGCTATGATGCCATGATGCTATGATGCTATGATGTTTTGATGCTTTGATGCTATGATGCCATGACATGATGCCATGATGCTATGATGCTGTGATGCCTTAAATCCTAAACCCTAGGCCCTAAACCCTAAACCCTAACCCTAAAACCCTAAACCCCAAACCCTAAACCCTAAACCCTCAACCAATGTTTTATTCAGTTGCTGTGTGTGGTAGGTGTCTTCTGGCTCTATCCAGATCTGCCAAATACGACATTGCATTTTTGTTCTCGATAGTCCACTGCCACTGCCTTCTGGCACCATTTGCGCATAGACCCTCTGCCACTTACAAATCACCCAGCCACATGTTACTGTTATCCAACATGCTTCTGCGCTCACACGACACTTCTTGGCAAGCCTTCCTGTATTCCCAGCTGGGATAGCAAGCAGCGCATGCCACTGGCTCAACAAATTTGATGCCTGACGAAGTGTAAATCTTGATCGTGAATTTCGCCATGCCGCGAGAAATACGTAAATTTGCCTAGCACATGTGTTCCAAAGCCAACCGCTCGTCTCTCAGGCGGAGCAAAAAAGTGAACCGCCTCAGATTGGCTCCGTGTTTTATTTATCTGAAATTCTGAAAGTTTGGAAAAGGTTTTCAATCACACTGCTGTCCGCTGTCAGAATCAAGGATGCCAGGGGTTGGACTTGAGGCCATGTTCCTGAATTCTCAATCCTAGAAATCTAATTGTCTGGAATAAAGTCTGGAAACTAGCAACTAGGATTTGCCTCGACCATGTCAGCTGATCCTGCCATCCAATATTCATTAATTCAATATTCCAATTTTCCTGCAAGCCGCTGTTTCCAACCAAGTTTGTATTCTAGAGGAAATGTTTCTCGATTGGTCAAATTGGAAGATTTCTGCCAAACAGAATTTTTGGATTCCATGTGTACCTTCTCAATAGAATTCTTACCGCAAGCAGAATATTCAAAATTTTCATATTAGTGAAAGAGAAAATTACAGCATGTTTTTCTCGAAGAAAAAGTTGCAAAAAATGTTAAACATGCAATCCCAGTTGCAAAAAAAATTGTAAAAAACATTGCGAAAATATTTATTTCAAGATTTACAACCCCTGGCTCGCAGATATTCTTATAATCCTAAGAGAACCTACGCAGATTCGGTTGGGCAGCTGTGGACTTTGGCAGAGTCCTCCAGATTTTTTTTTGCAGCAAGCTCTGTATGATTTGTTGCGGTTCTGCTGAAGCTCACGCTGCGCAAAGAAAGAGCGTGTGCATGTCAAGGTGCTCAGCCATACTCATACCCATGTTGACCATTTTGTAATTGTATTGCGCAGGTTATGAGTCTTTTAAATCATCGATTCGAAGCGGATGTCAAGGACCCGAGCTTGATGCATTGTTCCAGTTACTCATCAATGACCCACTGACCCGCTTGTTTGACGCGCAGTGCTATCCGAGAATGTGTGTGATGTGTATATAAGCAGTGTGCTATTTTTGCTCTGTTGCGATATAAGTTGTAGTTGCCTGTGCAGTGTTGCATGAGGAAGCGACCAGTTGCAAGAGCCACCACAAGAAAAGAATGATCCTGCCAACAAAAGGCCGTTTACCAGGTGTGCATCTGCAAGACCACGCATGGAACTTTGCATGGGTGGCAGGGACGTCGAGTCCCTGGAGAAGGCTCTGCAGAAGAGCGAAGAAGCACCTTGCCACTATGCTTTTGCTTGTGTGTTTGGGTGAAAACTGTTGAGTGTACATGTGAGGGGGGCAATCTGAAGGAGCCATAAACATAACTCCTCAGGGGCTACCTGGGGTAAAGATTCAGGATGATTCAGGTGGGCCCTTGGGTTGATTCCATGAAGTCATTTCGTCATTTGTCAGGGAATCCTTGCGAGGTAGTCGTAAAGAGATAAGCCCCGCGAGTTGGGCTTCAAGTTTTTTTTGCTGTGGGTAATGCTTTCGGTGCTGTACTTCTTCACAGCCGGTGGCCGCGAACTTGACAGTCAAGCTTCAATGTGCTCACTCTGGAGTTACGATCCTCATACCATTCATACTACACTGATCCGGAACCTAACATCATGTTGCTCTTGCGGGCGACGTGCGACCAGCACTGGACCGTTTTTTGGCATGATTTCTTCACAGAGGTGGAGTTTGGCATCAACTTGCTATCAGCAGTTGCATGGGGTGGTCTGGCATCACGGGGTATTTTTTTCAAGTGCCCAACAGTAACGCAGGCAACACATACAAAATTCCCGTGTCTCTTTCGACTTTCCTGAGATTTGCGATCTCCAAGGAGAAGGCATGGCTGCAGCACAGGGTCAACGTGCTGGAGACTGCCATGTGCTCAGGATTGACGCTTGGAAGTGTAGGCATTGAAGTGGTGTTGAGCCGAGGCGACCAAGAAAGACGACTTTTTCTTGCTACGCGCCTTCCCCCCGCGCTAGTGGCGGGTCAAACGCTGAGTTCGTGTGGGCGTTTGTGGCATAGAACTCAGGGATTGCATGGCAGGCGTTCAGGCGTGAGAGTTTTGATGGACTTGCGTGCACAGTGCGCTGTTGCATCCTCACTTAATACGCGGGCATTACTTGCAACCTATGAAGAGGTAGCTGGGTTTCTCGGGTGATCAGCCTAAGTGTGTGCATATTGTGTGCATTCATGGGGTTCTGTCAGGTCAGAAGCCAATCGCAGGCGTAGCCAAGATCCGAGTGATGGTTGGAGCTAGGGTAGCTGCGAGGGCTTGATTCTGAAGGCGTACGAGAGAAACTATAGAAACTCATTAGTAGCTTGTAGAAACCCGCATGTCTAGGTTTTGGGTAGGGTGCCTTTGCCGGGGTGGATCTGCAGCCAATGAGTGCGCGGCCACAGCTGCCACAGCTTGCCAATCCCATGCCCTTGATGCCTTAATCCCTAATCATCCCGAATCCCTAACCAATCGTGAAGCCCAAAACTGACAACCTAAACTCTACGTCCTAAATCGTGCAGTAAAAGAAAAACCCTGCGGTTCGCGAGCCATTATTTTCGCAACGACCGAATGTTTTTGATTGGCTGTTAATGGGGATGAGATACTATATGGAGTATATCATTTGTATACGCACTCTGCGCATTCATCAGATTTTGTTTTGTAGTTGCGCTGGACCCAATGTTGCACTTTCATGCCTTGGGCTGCATGGTGTGCGTGTTATCTGGACGTTCTTTCGCGGCCATATGGGTTTCTTTTGCATGCATCGTGGCCTCGATGCAGTTTCACACCACCGAATCGCAACAGTTTCCCTCCGAAGGCCGGGCAAAGGTACTCATGGATTGCAGCTTGCGATGCTCATCGGTTGGCAGCCAACGTTGCACAGGTTCACGGAGGCGATGCTGTTTTTTCAGATAGTGCTCGTGAACGTCCTTTCAGCTGCTTGGCTTCATAATGCCTGACTGCCGGTTTGTGGAGGGCTAGCGCTTGTAGGTGTGTTGTCGCTGGCTAGCAATGTGCATGTAGTCACAAGTCGGGGCAGCCAGATGCACGCAGTCAACGATGATTTGGTAGGGAACTTGTTTCATGTAAACTGTTTCGTCTCATTACTCGGGGCTTGGCGTTAGATGGCAGTGGTAATGAACCTAGAACGTAGGCATCCATCGCGCAGTCGTAGGTCGTGTTGGCTTCGCTTGTCAATGAGAGCTGCCCGGACCAACTCGCAGCCTTGCAAGTCACAGCGTCCAAGCAGCAGATGGTTTGTTTGCAAACTTTAACATGGCTGTTGATGTTGAAAATGCAGCTCAGTTATTTTGACCAGCTGTTGATGTGACCCTTCAACATTTCCCCGAAGATATCGACTTAACTTTCCAAGTACTTGCTGCCGCTGTCATGATGGCGAGTTTCATTCAAACTGAGCATATGCGTTATTCGCATCGAGGAAGCTCGCATCGTACTTGACAGCGGCAAGCACTAGAGTTGCAACTAAGGCGTCGCAGCAGAACCAGGCTCATTTAAAAAGATCCTGCCCACTTGCAATTTGCAGCTTGCCAGCTGTGCAGTTGATCCTTTGGTTGATTGCAGAGAGTTTCGTGCAACCGGCTCTGTTTGTAACCGAGTTCCTTGCCGTGATGGGCAGGCTCACCACGGACGATCCCACTACAGGAGAGTCCACCACGAGAATGCCCACAAGAGCCATCGAGTAGGCCCGACAGTTTGCGGCCTAGGGGACAAGTCCAGAAAGACCGCAGAATACAGTAATGACATTTCCTAGCAGTTTGCCGTTTGACAGGCAACACTCGGACCTCTGACTCGCGACATCCACCTGACGGCAGCGAAAAGCACTGCCGTCCGCAGGCCTGACATCAGTTGAGACATGCGAACGCATTTCAGTCAAGGCTAGTTCTGTACAATCTGTCTCCATTGTCGCACAGTGAGTGCTCTTGCAGGATTCTTCTGGGCGCGTGTTTGGCCTGCAGCGAAGAATACGGAAAGAGGTGCACAGCTTGTGCCTTGGCTGCGTGAGACGCGATCTTCATTCCAGATGAGTGCCTGGCCGCCCACCCACCCTTACTGCAGAGTTTCTGTCATTAACAGGTTTGCGTAGCGCAAGGTCTCGTGTTTGTGATGTTGTGTTCTGCCGCTACCGGCTGAGATGTGCCTGCAAGGAGCGACAAGGAATTCCAGAGCTTTGCTAGAGCGGCGAATCTCTTGAAGAAGGCGGGTAGGATGCAATTCGTGTGTTGGTCCTTCAAAGGAGGCCCAGCCTGACATGATGGAAACTGTCTTTGCAATTCCTGGAATACCCGAGCTTTCTGGAGTTGTCTTGCTATGGCCAGTAGCTTGTGGCCAGAAGGCTGTTGTTCTGCGGCTCGTAGGTCTTGAGATCGCTCAAGCCTTGCCTAACGAACACTTCGAAGTACCAGCATGGGCAATGTGAGTACTGGCTTGTGCACCAGGTGGAGTCCAAGTGTGCTGGGAAGGCTCTCTGCCCAGTGCTCAGATCATTCCTGCGAGCCGTGAGTACCTGCAGGTTGGTGCAGGTCAAGCTAAAGCTCAGTTTTTTGTTATTGTCCGTCTCACCTACACCAGGTGCAGAGGATTATCCTGACACGTGGGATTCCTTCCGTGCCTCCAACATGCCCCTCGGTTTTTGGGCTTTCAGAGCAAAGAAAAGTCAGCCGGAAAGCCTGACAGCCCGAGGCGATGCCACAAAGATGAGGAGGACTTCCTCATGTGTCATCGCAGGATGTTGTATGACTTGGAAACCAGCCTGCAGAAGCTGCTCGGCTGTATGCAATTTTTTGACAGCCTTTGCGGCACGGCCTTGCTATCAGCTCAGGGTGTCCGGAGACTGTGATGTCACCTTGCCATATTGGAATCCTTACCGTGAGCCCGGCAATGCTCTGGGCAAGCAGCTTAGCGAGCGGAATCGCGTAGTTTTGGCTACGTGTAAAGGTCTATCGAGCTTTGAGTTGTTCTCTTGTGCCGAGACTCGAAAGTCTGGAATGCCAGCAGATTCGGTGCATTGTGGGGCGTGGAGGAGAAGTACTGCTACGCTGCTTGTCATGCATATGCATTGAAGCCGTAGGCACGACGGTTTGAGCTAACAGACTTGCATGCTTCTGCTAGGCCGCAGTACTTACAAGCTTTGAGTCACCTTCAGCAATAAGGACAGCGCTGAGGATGCTTGGACAGACTGTGCTGCAGCCTCAATTTGCAATATCCTGAGGGCGACGGAAGCAGTGATGGTTTTTTGACCTCGAGTAGAAGACTGCTTACTCCTGGTGTTTGTAATATCACCAGGCCTGGTGCAAATCTGTTCCTGGCTGCTGTGGAGGTCACAGACGGAGTTGGTGCTGATTGGACGCAGGGCAGCGACATCCACAGCTACGACTGCTGCTTGGCTGCATATGTATCCATGCCCTGCTGAAAGAAGTACACCTTCAGATTGGTTCCTCATTAAAGGGCCTGTCGACGTATGTCTTACTATGATGTTCAGCACATGTATACCTCATCTTAAGCAGTGCCTAAGACCAAGACACAAAAGGACTTGGGTCATGTGTGTCCCAAGTTCTGAGAACTTCACGTTCTCGAATTGGAAAGCAATATGCCTTCGCATGCTCTCGCCATCAAATGCCGTGAGGCCATGGTCAGAGAGTGCTAGGCATGCAGGCAAAGAGGTTGCTTCTGCACTTCCGTTTCCAAGTTGGTTGCAAGGCTTTGACGGAGTGGTGGGGGAACGGTTTGTTGGATGCCGCAGGCGACAGCTGTTTTTGGTCTTGGCACGTGGCTTTGCAGTTGACATCCGCAAGCTGCAAGCTGAGGCTCGGCCTGCTTGAACAGGGCCCCGGAGTTGCAACGTGACAGCAAGTACAGCAAGTGAAAATCCGCTCGGTTGCACTAAGCTTCAGGCGTGACCACGCTCGTTGGGGCAAGCTGTGGTAGATGGTGGCGCTTCCTAGCCCTAGACAGCTCAGGTATGCCAATCTTCTTCCACTGCCCGTTCTGCTCGTTGCTTGTCCATGAAAGGTAATTTTATCGCTACAGCGAGACTGCCTCGGCAAGTGTGGTTCAAGCGAGAGATGGCTTCCACTCCCCCCTCCTCCCCAAATCTGTGTTTCGGCCTGGCGCCGAGAGGGAACCTGCAACATTGCGCGTGACACTCAATTCGATGTTAAAATGAAAAATGCCGCTCATGAACTGCAACGCAAAAGTGAGCTGCACCCGCCCTGACTCCCCTGACCCTCCCCCTTCTGGACCCCCCCCCAAATCCGTGCTTTTTGGCCCGACCAGAACCTGACTAAACCCTTTCCTCCGAATCGTGTGCACGGGGAGGGGGTAGGGGGAGGGTTAACTTACTCCTAGAACACACTAGGCCTCCGGCCTCGGGATAGCCTTGTTAGAGAGAGGTTTTACAGGAAAAGCTGCAAGACTTTGGTGAGGCAACCTGTTTGACATACCGAGGCTGCAACCAAGAAGGACAGGACGCTTGAAGACTTCCAATCCTGGGCCGCTTGCTGCAAATTGAAGTCAAACGCGCTTGAGTTACACAGGGCCCTGGGCTTGTTCCAGAAGCTCAAGAGGGGTCTAGCTTTCATGCCTCCAGGTCTGCAAGCTGCAGATATCCGCATACAACACAAAACCAATCTAGCAAATAAGCTATGTCGCGGCCACAGGAGAGTAGGATGGCAGTCGCATGCATGATTTGCTGTTCAGGTCCGAGGAATCATCGCGGATGTGCATTTCATGGTAGGCGCGCTGCGAGCAATCTAAATGTCAATACAGGTGCTTTCTGCCATGCAGCAAATAGACGCTGCAACTTGCGGCTGAAGCATGCCCTCTGAAACTCGCCGCGACTGCCTGCAAGATGAAGACTCATAAAAAGAACCATGAGACGACAACTCCCAGCAAGCAAATGCTTTCCCGTATTAGATGGTATTATGGTATTAGCAACCTTGGCCGTACATGAGAGTCTACTGCTCTGAGCAGGTGGTGACATGGCGCATCTTCCAGAAGCCACAACAGATCCGGTGGCTTTTGCCCATTTTGGCAGCTTGCAGCAAGAAGAACTCTTAGTTTTATGTTGGCTCATGTCTTGTATGTCTTGTCCTGGACATGAGTTTCAAATTGTATTCTCTAATTTTCGGTGTTCGTTGATCAAATGGACATCGTCTCCTCTTGTGCAGGCATGATGGACCTCTTGATGTCCATGCGCCAGGCAACTCTGCAGATGTTGTCAATTTTTGCTGCCGTGTTGCTGGCATCACAAATGTGTAGTAGGCTTCTTGGCTGTTTGTCACGTCTTGACCTGTAGCCTGGTCCCTCCAGACACAATGTGCAGGCTAACCTGAATTAGAGGCCTCAAAGAGGGCAAATGGTGGTGGTGAGCTGCCTTTCCAGGTGTACCGCTCAAACGCACGCAAGGACCAGCTCTGCTCGACCTGTGTCTGGGCTGAATGGTGCCCAGATATGTGTTTAAGATTTCCAAGTTTGCTCATCTTGTTGTTGCCTCCTAGTTTCCACAGCTGGACTTGCAGATGCCCACTTAACTTATATGTCGTAACAGCACTGTGGAATTCTCGACGTTGGATGATAAGGCTCAAAGCCAATCACCTTTTACAACGTTCCGCGATCGGAGTGGCTTGGGGAGGTTGACGAGAAAAACTCCTGTGTTAAGGCAAGACGTCAAGATGGATGTCAAGCGTCAAGCAACATGTAATCCTTGCATTGGGACCTTGCCAGGTGCCTGCCAGCAACCCTCGTGCTTGCATCGGCTATGGGGATCTTATCATTGCAGCAGGCCTTGCATCCTTAACGGATGCCTTCTTAAGCCCAGTTGGTGAAACGTAGTGCGCAGGCAACCAGGGCCAGGCAAGCTTGCTCAGCAGCTTGGCAGCAGACAGTTGAAATTCGCCCCACATGCTGCCAGACTTCAAGAATCATTTTTTTTAAAGTCTCTCCGCTGCTTATTTGCCTTCAGCTGAGCAGGTGAAGGTGGCGAGTCGGAAGAGACAAGTGCCGGAGCCAAATGCCGCCTGCTAAGCATCCAGTATGCGCAAAAAGTATGATGGAATCAACGCTGGAGTGCCTGTCATTTGGGGCATATTGGCACCTCCATGAGGTTCCAAGATCTTGACAACGATGAAGTCCAGCAGCTGCCAAGTCAAGGACACAGTTCTTATGACGACAGTCCCAAGCAGGATCAAGTCTAGTATCCTTGGGCCAGGCTGGCAGCAATTGTTGCATGTGCTTGACAGCAGCAAGTCCGCTCATGTGAAATAATTGAATCTTACTTGCTCAAGAATCTGCAAGCCGTCCCACATGTGCGCTTGGTTTCCAGTGGAGGACTTGTTGCACAGTGTTGTCCTGACGCAGCGCTACAATGTGTACCTCGACCGCACTAGCACTGAAGCATCTGACGTTCCTCTCAGTGAAACAAGTCTGCAAATCGTTGTAGACGATTTTGTGATTTCTTTGCTCACCTTGGCCTTCACCAAGGACGTCGGCGTACGAAGCGTGCAGGACGAATTGCTTGGTTGCGTATTGTTGAGAGGCAGATGGCAGGTCCAGTCTTCAAGGCACGGTCAACTCAGCTTTAGGACCTACTGGTCCAGTATGGACTCGGAGATGGGACGCAACTTTATGCAGTGGACGAAGGCCACTGCCGCCAGCAGGCCACTTTGCAAGACTTGCATGTGATCTGCCTGCACGTGCTGACACACTGCGCAAGCACAATCCTTGTGAAGGATAGAAAGCTGCAAAGCAGCGGCCAACGAGACCTTGAAGCTCATGAGCTTCTTCAGGCCTGATGTTCCAGTGCAAAAGCCGACCTTGCAGTCAGCGCTAGTTCGATATTTGGCATCCATATCTTTGACTTTGACTGCTGTGAGCATGTTGTGGCTAGATAGTATGTCTAGGCATGCTGAACCAGCAAACGCTCCAGAAGCGAAGCAGCAGCCCCAGATGCTTGCAACAGTGAGTTGTCCCGGAAAGACATCGACAATAAGAGCTGCAAGTTCACCATGCGCATGCTGCACCTGAAACTTGCAACGAGCTACAGCAGGTATGGTATCAAGTGTGATGCCACCTTGGAATGCTGAAGGTCTCTTGGCTGCTTGGTAACGCTTTTGAAGGCATTTGTCGTGAAGCACACTGGAATCAGCCTCTGACACGAGCTAAGCCACAGCAGCTAAAGCTGACATAGATCAAACATCGCTGACATAGATAAGACATCGGACATCCAAGGCAAAACTCCAAGTGATTTAATGCTCATGGGAAACACCTGAGCGATTCCATTATCGCTGTGGCTGATTATAGGAATTTTCTGCTACACGTGTGGTGGTCATGATGAATCAACTGCACAGGGTGAGTCAGATGTGTATGTCAAGCAGTCAAGCTGTTAGCATTGACAGCTGCAGAGTGATTCAGCTCAACCTTGCGGCATAGATGATGGCAGTGTCCTCGGACATCAGGTTGTGAGGGAACTACTCGGCCACGTTTCAAGATTCTTTCCACAAGTTTCTCTGTTGATGTCCCTCATGACAATGTTGTCTTCAAGTTTTACGCCTCTACACTACGTAGCCGAACTTGGTGCTGCACATCATTCAAGCTTGGTTTGCACCCATGACAGAAAAGTGCTGGCGCTGTTTGCAATTGGCTCATGTTGCGCTTGAGTTTGAGACAGCCGCAATTTTTAAGTGCGCATCTTTGCAGGCCAGGAGGCTCCAGCACCCTTTCTGAAAGAAATGGTAGCCATGAGAGAGTTTTTGAACCTGACCACTGCGCTGACGGTGGCGGCAGTCTGCGTCTGCACTG